CTTACTGAAGATGGATTATTTAGAAAACCACCTGACCAATACCAACTTGAAGAATTAATAAAGAAATTAAATGATTCTGATTTTAGAAATGAATTAAAATTAACAGAATATCCAGTTGGAACTATTTGTGGATTATTAAAAAGTTTATTAATGGAAATGAATCCAAGATTTATTAATGGAGAATCTTATAAACTCTTTTCTGATATATCAAAAAAGAAAGGAATTAATGAACAAAGAAAACAAATCAAATTTTTTATTGAATCATTAAACAATGAACATAGAAATACTTTATCTAGATATTTATTTTTAATGAATATTATTGCTGTTAATCAAAGACTAAATAGAATGGGAGAATCAAATCTCTCAACTGCCATTTGTCAATGCTTTTTACCACCAAAACAATCAGTTGATTTTGCATCAGTAGAAAATGATTCTTTTGAATGTTTAATTAGTAATTATGATTTATTTATTCCTTCTAAACTTGAACATCCAATACAAACACCATCCCTATTTAGTCTTATTAAAAAACAAACCAAAACAAATAACACTGTTATAATAAGTTGTTTCAATGAAATCAAAAATGTTATGTGGTTATTAGAATGTGATGGAACATTAACAGAAGTTAATGTTAACACATTACAATCATCAGTCATTAAATTAAATCTTCCATTCAATACTATAAAACAAATAGAATCATATGATAAATATAATATCATTGCATCTAATACCTCTTTATTAACAATTGATGTAGAAACTAAAAAAATCATTCAAATGATTAAAAGAAAAGAAATAAATTGTTTAATGATTCTTAATAATAATATTATCATTGGAGAACAAAATGGAATGATTGAATTGTTTGAAATCCCAACATTAAAAAAGAAAGGAGAATTATTTGTTATACCAAAAAAACTTGACGCATCACAAAAAATACCATCAATTATTCAAATTACTGGGAACGAAGAAGCTATTTATGTATTGTATGAAAATAATTGTGAAATTGGATTTGTTTCTATGACAAATGGTTCATTAATACAAACTATTAAATTATATAATCAATCAAAAATTACTTGTTTTAGTTATATAGAAGAAAATCAAACTCTATGGGTTGCAAATAATGATGGTGATATTAAAATATTTAATGGAGAGAATGGAATAATAATAGAAGAATATAAATATCCATTAACTTATGGAAGTGTTGTTTTTATTGCTTCAATACCAAAATATATAATTGTTGTATTTAATTCATCACAAATTCTATTATTTAATTTAGATACTATTTCATTAGTTTGTTCAATATCAAATAAGTATTTTATTACTTCTAAATGGGCAAAATTAGTTAAAAGAAATTATTATGAAAAAATTTATTGGAACTTGTGGTTAGAAAAAGATGGTAATGGAGATATTGGAATTATAGACATTGGTCCATTTAATGACTTTTCAATTACTGATGAAAGATTAATAAAAATCGAATATAAATTTCATAACAATTATATTGAACATTCACCAATAGGTCATTCTTTTAATATTGTATCAATTGATACAAATAAAAAATGTTGTGTTTGTCAAAAAAATATTGAACAAACTTGTTGTCAATGTATTAATTGTAATCAATATCTTCATCAAAATTGTATTAGTACTTTTATTGAAACTAGATGCAAAGGACATTTCAAGATTATACATGAAATAATCAATCGTTCAAAATAATTGAATGTGTTATATTTATTTTTCTTTTTTATTCCAGTATATTTTTTATATCATCATTAAATAACTCTGTTCAAATTCTCTTTAAATCTTCTTTATTTTTGATCCAATGTTATTTCTTTATCACTCCAAATATATTAACAAATTATTAATAAACTTATGACTATTGAAATTCATTTAAAACATCCATCAATTTTCTTATTTACTCTAATATTATTATACAATGACTTTAAAAAAATAATCTTTCATTTGAAATTAAAAAAATTTATATTATGAATTTTAAGATAATGGCTGTATTTAAGTTAGTTTGGTTCGTCTCAAACTTTTTTTAAAACAAATACACTCTTGACTTATTCATTGAGTTTATATTAAAATTGTTAATATACACTTCTTTTTGACTCATCATTTATTAAAAAATTGATTCCTTCTTCTTTACATTCTTTACTAATTCACCTAACAAAAATAAATCCATTTCATTATTTTTCACTCCTTTTGTCCTACTACCAATTTTAATTTTACAAGAAATATATTATTATGTTTCTTATTTGTAATTAAACACCAAATACTTATTTTTAAATTTCCTTTATATTCGATTAAATAAATTTATTATGTCATATAAAACATACTTCTTTCTTTTTCCTTCTCCCTAAAAAAATCATTCTACCCGTTTGTATTGTTCGAATAATCCACCAAAATAATCTTCTTAATAAAAAAAAAGTATTGTTTTGATGAGTCTCAAAAGTAACTAGTGGCACTCTTGCACTTAAACTTTATGAGCTGTACTTAGATTGATCTTTTTCATTGATGACACTCTCATAAACTTTCTCATAAAAACTAATAAAGATAAAATAATAGAATCTTCTATTGAAAAACATACATAATTTATCTTTTAAAATAAAAGAATTAATTACTAAAAAAAAGAGTCACAAATGATGAGTTTAAAAAAAATTAAAAAAAAACTCCGAAAAGAATAATTCGAATCAAAGAGAAATTCTACATTTAAATCCATTTTAAAACAGAAAGGAGAAAATTCTTTCCTGAAAACTCCGCCGGAATAAAAAGATTCGACTTATCTCAATCTACCAATTCAATGAATATGTCACTATCCCATCCACAAGCAATAATGCAGCCAATAGCAAAAGCACAAATATCAATTGATTCCACTTCTACTTCGTTTGCTGATGAGATTATGATTATTGACGATTATATGCAACGCGAAGATTGTTCATATCCCCAACGAACTATTAATCCTATTCCATTTGAAAGAACTGCTTGTTTACCTTTTGGAGATGATTATGTCTCTTCTGCTTCACAATCTCAAACTTCTTCTCTAGCAGAAGGGTTGTATTGGTTAAACAAATTTTGTTAAATAAAAGCAATGGTACATACCTCATCCACAATTCCTTAATTTTTATTTCTTTTGATATTTGTTTTATAAATCATAAATAATAAAATTAATAAAAATATAAAAAGTGCTCAATTATTGCTTATCATTGATTATTGGACTTCCTATTGGAGCCTCATCATTAATAACAACAGTAGAAGTAAAAGAGAAAACATTTTGTTTAGAATATTTATTATAAAAATATGATAATACAATATAGTTTAAGATAATCATTATAGAACATACTAATTCAGATATTGCAAAAACAAGATATGAAGTACTTTGACATGTAAATGATTTTAAGGGTTGTCCATATGTTATATTTGGTATAATTTCTGTACAGAATTTCTGTGTTCGTGTCCAGTTAACAATGTCATAAATACCACATGCTCCGAGAAAGCCACAATATATTGAAGAAATAAATAGTTGTTTATTTGTATTGTAATGAAACACAATAGTATACATATAACAAAATGCAATGAATCCTGAATTTAATAACCAACCGAAACACAATACAAATACTTGGTAATGAATATAAGGAGAACACCAAAAAGAATAACTTTCATTTTCTGTTTCTAGAGTTAATGAGAATGGTGTATAATGTTTATACGGATCAGACTGACATGTCCCTTCAGGATGTTGTATATTATTTTCGTGAAGAGAGAGCTAATAAAATAAATGGTTGTTGAAACATTTAAAAAATATTTACAAACAGTTGTATTATTGATTAAGTCTTTATCTAAAGCAAATGTAAATTGAAAAAAGAATATATATAAAGAAATAATCAATGCAATACAAGTTGTTATACTAACCATTTTACATAATAATGTATGGTGAACTTCACGTAATTCAAATCCAATCATTATAAAGTAATTTAATTAGTTTTGAAGAAGAGTATGAAAAAAATGAAAAACCTCCTTCTAATCTACCCTTTAGTAGGTTTTTTCCTTTTTTTTTGGAACCAATTATTTTTGACTTTTTTATTTAGAAAATAACCCAAATCAAAACAATAATCAAAATTACATGTAGTTGTGGGTTGTTGAATAACTCCCATAATAATTATACCAAAATATGGGTTGTTTTTGTTTAATGACATCTAATGGTAGTACTTTCGATTGTGGATTAAATAGCTCATTACTAAAACTAAATAAAATTTCTTCTTCATAATCAAGGAAAGAATAAAAATTCATCACTCGATTCCCAAAAGAATTAAATTCATTCCAACAATTAAAACGGAAGTTACAAAAATAACAAGAGTATAACTGAAAGAGTAATTCTTTTAAGAAAACTTCATTAAATTCAAATTCACTTGGAAATAATGAGTATAGTTGATAAACACTATCGATAAACTGTAAAAATATAGGTGAAGTTTCAGAAATACTTTGTGATCCATTTAAGTGTCTACATCTATCACTAAACTTATGACCACTTAAACTCCATTCTTTTTCTATTATTGTTTCAAATCCCTTAAAAGTACGATAATAAGGATCCATTATAATCATTGTTAATGATGTTAATTGACTTGTTCTATCCCAACCATCTGAACAATGAACAAGAACACTATTACCATTAATAATACTAGTACAAAGTTCACAAACACCTTTAATAATTTTTTTAATATGTTTTAACCATACATTTTTATTTTCTTCATTTAAAGGTGATTCGATTATAGTAAATAACCCATCTTCAGCATCTCTCATTTTATGGATATTATCAATATTTAGAAATGTTATTGTAGCATTACCATAATTCTTCATATTTTCACTTCCCATTCCTTTTACTCTATTTACATTAGCATTTAACTTTGGTCGTGCATCATAAATTTTGATTGAATGTGTTCGGCTCATCATAGCATATTCAGTTAACATTTGTTCATCAATTTTACTTCGAGAAGAAGTAATACCTGTTGCAGGTTGACTACTTCTAACTAATAATCCATTCCCTTCAGATATCCAAGAAACAATAGGAATTCTTCCTTTGCTCCTAAATTGTACACATTGTTGTAACTCTTCTTCATTAAATATTGAAGGTATAACAACACAAGGAGGATATGTTGGACAAAGTTGTTGATTCCATACTTTTAATGCAGAGTATTTTTCAATATTAAGTCTTGTAAAATCTTCTCTAATCAATTTCATTCTATCTTCTATTGATCCACCCATAGAGAATAATTCTATCTGTGCATTCTTTTCTATTAGACATAATAATGTTTCTTGTAATTTTAATGCTTGAGCTTCATCCGTGAAATAACCAATATAGAAATAATTAAAGTATTTTGTGATAATCAATAGAGTGTAAAATTTTTTTATTGACTCTAGTTCAATGCACCTTACTTTAATTTTTTTAATAGATGGAACTGGAACATGAAACGTACCAGAACAATGTTCAGAAGTTCTAAGAAGATCTTTTGACTTGTCTATTTCTAACAATTGTTTTTGTTGTTTAAATATAAAACGAGCTGTAGTTACAATAACTGTACCAAAGATTGGTTGTACACTACTCTTTGTTTGATTAAAATGAAGATGAATTGTTTCAGGAATGATACTTATGATATTTTCTCCTGGAAATAATGAATATTCTATATTACATTTGTTTTCATTTTGAGAAGAAGACATTCTGTTAATAGCAAGAAGGATATGACTTTTTTCTTTACCATCTAAATTTCTTGAATATCCATGTAAATTTGGGATTTTTGAATCTTCTTTTAAAGCAAAAATAACACTTCCATGTAATTCATTGATATCAATTGTTTCATTAACAAGACCTGATTCTGAAAAGAATCCAATTTCACCAATAACATTTTCTAATGTTGATATTTCTGCACCAAATAATACTAAACTTAATACATGTTTTAGTTGACCAATTTTCATTATAATATGTCGTTCATTTAATGTCTGAATAAGTCCAGTGATATTGATTGTAGCCATTAATCTTAATTGGTCTTTTAATATTTTCTTTTGTAATGAATTTGTTTCATTGTTATATGATGTTAATAATAAGATACCATTTGTTTCTTTTGAAGTTATATTCTTCTTTGGTGTTCTAGTTGATTTAGGAGATGAACGAGGAGAATTTACAAGTGCTAATAATCCTTTTGGACAAATCATTGTTTTGATTGTACTTTTATTAATTGCATGAACCCATTTATTAGCTTCATCTACCATTGAAACATAAAAAACATATGATTGTGTAGATGTCTGAACTATAAAAGCACCATTTGACTGTTGAGATAATTGAACTAAAATAGGAGGTAGTTGTATGGCTATATAAGGGATACTAACAGGGTTATTAGTGATATACACATAAAGATATAGTAATTGAGATGTACATAACATTAAAGTTGCATCAATCATCAAATCTTCTGGATCATTATTTCTGTGGAATAAAACTTTTCCTTTTTTAGTAAATTTAAGTGAATTTAAAGGAGGAAGAAAGTCCTTTTTTAATAACTTTTGTTTCTTTAACTCTTTCATAAATTCTGGATTTTCTAATAATTTTTCAATACATTTATTAAAAATTAAAAGATATCTCTTAGTATAAAATAAAGGCTCAGTATTTTTCAACCATTCAATGTCTTTATCCATCGATAAAGATTCAATCCCTTTTATACACTAAAAAAATGTTAGTATTAACATATGCAATATTAATTTTTTTTATGGAATAAAAAACTACAAAAAACAAACAGAACAGAGAATAGTTATTAATTGTTCAGAAGTTCTATATAAAGTGTAACTTCCATTAGAAGACTCTACAACAACATGAAAAACAACTACTGACCAATACTCTTCTAAAACAGTTGTAAATTTAACTAATTTAAAAGAAAGATGAGGTGCTTGTTTCACAATAGATGTCATAAAACACATATTTTCAGTTCAAATTTTTTTTTTGAAAGAAAAAACAAAAAATAAAGATATAAAGAGATTAACTTGATGAAATTGAATCTATATACTTTACTAATATTGTTGTAGGTGGTAAATTTGTTAACTCTCTTTGTATAATTTGTAATGGACATAACTCTGGAGAAAGAGAATTTAATTGGTATTGTAATGACTTAGAAATAAAAGAATTAGCAAGAGAAGATGAATAATTCATAAGGAACAAAGAGACAAAAACTTCTTTGTAAGTAGTAAATTGTTCGAAAGGTTTATTTGGGAATTCGTTATCAAAACATTGAAAAGAGCCTCTACAATGTTGTGGTAATAAGATTATAGTTTTAATAAGACGTTCTTTTTCTATTTGGTCTGTTAGTGGATAAATAGTTACAAATTGCTAAGAAGAATGAATGAGAAGTTTTATCAATAATTTTATGTTTAAAATAACAAACAGTAAATAATGATGAGATCATTCTATCATCTAATGAGTCTAAACAAAAAACATCATAACAATCGAATCTTAATTCTTTCCATTCACTCACAACAATTTCAATTAAAATTAATTTAATTGTGTCATTACTAACTTTTCTAAATATTAAATAATGTAACATATACTTATATAACAAAATTGCTTCTTTAACTACTTGATCACAATGATCTAAAATAGCACCAACAACAAAATGATAAAGTGTAATTGCTAATTTTTCATCATTTACATTTTCAATATTGTTTTTTATTAATTGCATTGTTTTAACTTTATAAGCCCAATTATTTCCAACCATAATTCTTTCAATAACACCACACCATTTTCCATGTTCAGTACCAACATATTGATCAAATAATTCTTTTGTCCATTTTTCCTTTCCGTTTTTTTCTAACCACTGGACTGAACTCATAATTGTGTTTTTTTTATTTTTGAGTTACTTCAATGAGTAACCATCCAAATTTTAATAATTTCAAGAAGACTCATTTAAAAGACCTTCAGCCTGGTGTTCGTGAAGGTTGGTTAAAGAAAAAGGGGTATGACTTCCATACATGGAAAAAAAGATATTTTATTATCAAAAATGAATTTATTTATTATTTTAGTAATGCTAATCCAACTTCTACTCCAAAAGGAGTTATTGAGTTAAATTCAAAGTCTCAAGCTAAAATAATTGATGACACATTCATGAATATTGTTATTTGTAGTGTTCATAGAAATCAAGAAATTATTGCTGACACTCCTGACATGGGTGCTGCTTGGGTTGATTCAATTAACAGTCATATAAAAACTCTTCAGAAAGTTGAAGAACAGAGAAAGAAAGAAGCAGAACTTGTTTCAACTCCTTTTTGTGGTAAGTCATGGCCTGAAGTTAAGAATGAAATTAATGTTTGTAAACATTTAAATGAAAGACAAGTTCCACCAACAGACTTAATTCAAATCATGAATAATATTGGAAAAGATACTTGTGAGAGATATTTTTATAATATTCTTTTAGAATGTATTACTACTTGGAATGATGATGAAATTGCTAACTTTGTTTGGAATTATTTCTGTAGACATCTTGTTAGGCAAGAAGAAGTTCAAATACAAGATAAAATGAAAAGAAGAAAGTCTATTATGAAAACTGAATCTGGAACTATGTACAAATTACTTTCTGACCTTAATATTATTTTTGGTGGAACTCAAGGTGCCGTTCTAACTGCTTTTGGAGGTGAAAGTGAAAATAGTGATGACATTATAATGGTGCTTGGAAGAAACACACAAGCTGGAGTAAGACTTGCTGCTATCTATAACTATATCATTGAAAATAATAAAATTTCATTTAACGAAGTTATTCGAACAATTTTAGATGCAATGGAACGATGGAGAATGAGGACTGAAGAACCAATGTTTAGGGCATTTGTGACTGGTATTACTGGAAATTGGAATCCTGCTAAAGTTGCATCTCTTATTTCTTTTCTTTCTTCTTTTACAAAAGAACATGACTCATTTCCTTTATTTGAAGAGCCATGGGAAGAACTTCCTCCACATGCTCTTTCCTTTATCTTAGCGTTTGTTTTTAATTTTTTTATTAACCAGTTTATTTAAGTAGAGACTCATTACTCAACACTTAGATATGCTAATCATTGGAATACAGAAGAAAAGAAAGAGTTTATTACAATAGGAAATATGCTTTGGGGATGGAAAATAGAAACATATAATAAATTAACAAACCAAATATGAATAGAAATTATTTTCTTTCTTTTCTACTATTTTTCAAAAAAAAATACATTTACAAGATACAACCACAGAAAATATAAAAAATAATAATAACAAAACATATTCAATTAGTTTAGTTCATGAACCAAATCAGTTGATTTGGAGTTAAATAATAATTATACTTAAAAATTTTTTTTAATCAGAACTTATCTCAATTAAGTTTTATATTTATTGTTTTTTCTTCATTGTTTATTTTATTTCTTTTTGTATTATTTCTTTCCTGTATTTTATTTATTCATTGATATTTTTATTTCTTATTCTACTGTTTTTGAATGTTTATCAATTAATATAACTACTACAACATTGTATTCTTTGTGGGTTTTGATATTTCTTTGTAAAATCAATTTAAATAAGAATTTCTATCATTTTAATATCTTCTTCATTCATTCTTTTCTTTCTATTATATCATATACTCATAAAAACAATACAAAAACATATGAA